GGTTCCAGTCATTGACCTCGTCCTGGTCGACACCGCCTTCAAGGTTCTCTTGGGCCAAGGCCACCAGTGACGTGAACTCGTTGGACGTGAAAGAGATCAAGGCGGGCCCGGCGCGCGATCCTTGCCCTGCTCGGACCTGGCCGTGTAGTTGGAAAAGATGACACGATCATCGACTATCGGGCCAAATCCCAGCGTGGGCCTCTCCATACGGTCGCCGTACTGTCCGATAAAGTTGGAGATCTGCACCATCGACACCTGGCGCATGCAGTCCAGCTCTGCTTTACCGTCCTCGTCGTCGCAGTCAACGCCGCAGGGCGCCTCGCACCCGACGTTTTGCGCTACAAAGCTAAAGTTAGAATACGAAGGCTCCGCGCCCGCGAAGCTGAAGGCCGTGCCCGACTCCATGTAGTAGGATTGGGCAATGGGGTCCTCGTGATAGGCGTAGGCATGAATGTCGGCGGATATGGCTCCAGCCGAGCGGCCCCACTGCATGATGCGTTCGGGGTCGCCGCCGAAAGCCGCGATGTTGTCGTGGACCCATTCCAGCGCTGCACGCTGGTCGAGAATGCCCAGGTTCTGTTCGCCACCGGCCAGACCACGGGCTCCAGGGAAGCCGAATATGTTTATGCGGTAGTTGACGCTGACGACAATGTGAGATCGCGACCGCTCGACCCACGACGTTGGTATTTGCCAAGGGAGGTTGACGCCGCCGATATAAAAGCCACCACCGGTCATGAAGAAGAGCACAGGAAACCCTCCTTCCGGGACCTCGCCCGTCGGCGTCCACACGGCCAGGTGCAAGCAGTCCTCGGATGTGGCCTCGCCCACCAGCCCGGATGTGTCGTTCTGAGCACCGTTGTAGACCAAGTTCCCTTGGTCAGTGGCAGGTTCCACATGGACTCGAGTGCTGTCACAAACTGTGGGCACGACGGCGGGTACTTGGTCGCATAGCGGTGTTCGTCTGGTGACGAGGAGAGCTTCTGTGGAGGCAGCCAGCGGCGTGACCCGACGGAGGCTCGGCGAACGGAATCGCGCGGAACTGACGCGTGTTGGGGAATTCAGGGTCGATCAGGCCAGTGAAGGTACCAGTAGACGTGCGAACCGTGAGGTCTGTGGTGCCTGGTGAGTCTGGGCATTTCGACGCCTGGCAGCCCAGACCGTTGGCTACGAACACGAAGACGGAAAAGAAGGCAATTCTCATTTTGGGCAACAATCGCGAGGATATATCGAGGCACACCTGGGGCAAATCCTAGCTCGCATGACTACTGCTTGAGCCTGGTTTATGTAGGTTTGTCTATCTGCTGTTCGTGGACAGGACAACCCGCCCCCCACGCTTAAACGTCTCTGCTATCCTGTGATGCTTGAGACGATCCATAGCGGCTTGGCGGGTATGGCCTGTCTGTACTGTGCAACAGCCAAACATCGCTGATAATCCCTCCATAGTACATCATGCAATCAGCGAAGGGCCCCAGTGTAATGGGGGCATACCAGGATAACGATTCGAACGATTCAAACCGGGCTGGGCTTCTTGATTCGAGGCCCTTTGAGACTTGCGATCGATACGCGTAAGTTGGAGAAATGACGATGATTGCAGGGTAAAATGACCCAACCAAGTTCTGTATAGGAAGCTCAGGGATCCGCTTAAAGGCGTAAGGATTAGGACTTGCATGTCCAGAATCCGACCTTCCTTTTTCGTATAAGCTGAGAAATCATTCTGTGCAATGGTTCCGAACGAATGCTTCTTTCTTCTTTCAGCGTACATAAGTAAACACCATGCACTTGCTGCATTTGCCGCATTCGCGGTCACAAGAAGGCTTCTATGTTATGCCCCATGGTTGACTTGAAAACTTTGCCGTATGTTCCCATATGAAAAGGGCATGTCAGCCTCTCTCTAGACTTTGCAGCGGAAGGGACTCAATGCAGATAAATCTGGGAGGTACCCTTATGTCAAGGCTCCCGGGCCCCGTTCTATGAACTGATATATCAAACAGCAGCCTTGGGCGGGATAGGGAGGACACGACTCGGATGAAAATCCCTCTCCAGAACCTGCGCGGCAGCAAGTGAGGCCTCAGCCATTGATTGAGTTCTCTTTTGATCACTCTCGGAGAACTCAGGCCCAAAGACTGCCTTCCCCTCAATGCAGCTAAGAAGAGCATCGCGGCGGGGGTGTGGAACGATAATGTCGTCCATCCACCTCGTAATTTTGGACTTGCTGAAGGCCTGAATTGCCCCCATCATAGCCATTCGTCCACCGAATTCGTAGCTTTTCAGCACGGCATCAATCCCTTCTGTCTGGAGCCATGAGTGGACTAGACCGGACCGCGGGAAGATATTGAAAACGGCCCAGTGAAGACCAAGGAGAAGCACCAAGGCAACGCCGTCCCAGCCTTTCTGGCCGGCGACAAATGTCATGGCTATCAGCTGAACAAGGTTCGCAAACCAGAACCAGGAGGCAGCCATGTCCACGCCCTTGCCGGAAGGTACGAGGAACATAGGCTTGTTGAGTAACGTATCGACAATACCGCGGTCCCCGATCAATAGGTTCCACTCTGTCGCATTTTGGTGGGATGCTACAAGCATGCAGGCGTCGTGTGCCTCGTTGTTGCTGAGATAACCCGGCGGACGCTGGATCTTGATATTCCAGGCGACTGCTTGAGACAAAGCCGAGCTGACGACAACGGCCGCCGTTCCATAGGCGCCGATGAGCCCAAGAAATGCGGACAAGCCCAGAAGAGCTATGAAAGATAGAATGCGAAACCAGGTCCGGTCTCCCAACTTGATGCAGATACCCAGTAGAGTCCGGGCGCTCGACTTCCTTCGGAAATAGAAAACATTGAGGACCTGATAGCGCCTCTGAGGTATCTTGTTTGGTGTGACAGGATCTACGGTCCTGAAGCGGCTCATATGTGACGTGGATGACGCTGTTCTGGAAGAAGAACTCTTGTCGTTCAAGGACTCTGACCCTGTCTGTGCCTTCGCCTCTACTGGCATCGCCGCAAGCTTTTCGGGCATGACCTCGCGCCTCTCCTTTGAGCGTCCTAGAAAATATCGCATGACCGCTGCGCTCGCAGCTCCGTTCGCACAGGGAAACACGCTGCCCCATGAAACGTCCCATACCGTTGTACTGGAACCGCCTCGGGTGCTTGCATAGTCGAGAAATCGCGTGCCATTTCGGAGCAATCTTGAGTAGCCAGAGAATATGCCGAGCTTGGGAAACAGACCAACAGGCAGTGCTGCCATCAAGGCGACATCGCCAGTGGTGAGATAGTCATCGCGCTGATTTGCAAGATGGGTGACGAGAGGCAAAATCGCACCCCATTCAGCGACGATATTTGGTAGAGGGGGTCCAGGGAGGTGCGACGGAATGTTGAGCGATCCTAAGCTGGCTTGTTCGGGCGAGGAAAAAAGGGTGGAAGGCATGACAAGATGCCGTGTTTGAAATGACGGTGAGGAAGCTGTTGGTAGTTGTGAACGAGGAGTCCCAATAGCACCCACCGATGCTGTTATGTACTCGTCTTACAGTCAGATTTTCCGATCGTGAGAAACAGACCTTAGGCGGCCTTGTTCGTTTTTAGGAGATCAGTGATGGCTGTGTCAGATATGTAGAAAGTCGCTTCCAAGACCTCTGAATGGGCCCCCTGTCAAGGCTGACAGAATGTTCAAGGGGCACGACCCAGTGAATGCGCATCCCAGATGCCGCTCCGCCACAGCTTGCATGCATGATCAAAAACTCACGCACTCACTCACAGCCTCAGATGACAATTGAGGCGACGAGAGGCTTGTGCAATGACCAATGGGTCGTGAAGGGGACTTTGGTACTGTTTTTCATGCAGCTGGCCCCGCATATTCCACGGATCCTTCGTCTCCTCTCACATCTCATGATGCTGGGTCGTCTTACGCGACCACGCACATAGAACCACGCGTGGAATTTATTTTACGTTTGACCACCCTGCGCAAGAGTCATTATTTCCATTTACAAATCAAACTTTCTTGCTCTCTTTAACTAGGTTTGGACTCCGCTCATCAAGATCACAAACTCGGCATGGACCCTGACCATAGTATGATTGGGGGCTTGTACCCAGACGCAGGTCGTGTCCGATCCATCCTGTCCGAGGAGTATTCTCACTACCAAACCAGCGACTTGACGGATCGCTTCTTCAGATGGGAAGATTTTCATACAACAAACTTGACTATACCCGCGGCAGAAGAGGGCAAACCCCATCAGGTGGTTCTAAAGTACTACAGCGCCGCAGAGCGAGATTCGTTGATTCGGGGTAAATGCCAGGAACTGTACGATGCGACAGCCAGCCCTGTGGGCCACGTTGAAAGGCTGGATCAACATCTTTCTAGCTATATCCAGTGCGAATGGCGTCCCCAATTTTGTTTGGACGATTTCGTGAGCAGGGTTGTCGCAGTCTTGCAGCGGCTACCAAGCGAGACCACTACGCTCCCAGATAACTTGGGACAATATTCCCCGACCATATTTCGGCGACGAGAACAAGCTATCGCAGTCTCTTCATGTCAATCGATGTATTCCAGGAACGTGATCCGATTGCGGCATACCAAGTCATGGTCCAGGCCCAGGAAGGATTCACAGATAGAGAGCTCCAGGATGCACTCAACGGAACAGGCGAGCTTATACACACCTGCGTCACGTTGGAGGGAGACGGGGTGGGAGATCCGGTTATCTGGATCGTTGTAAGGGCGTACCTCTGGTCATTCTGGCAGCGTGCGAGGTTGCTGTACCTCAGTTGCTTTCTCTTGCAGTCCATGAACCGAGGATTTGACCATGATTCCGAGAGCGCCTACTGGAGTAGGAACTTCCAGGTTTCTCCTGGCCTGTCACTGCGGGCATTCACCGAAGAGACTGCGGCGCTGAAGAAGCGACCCAACATGTGTGGATGGATGTTTGAGCTTCTTCGTGGCGACCCAAAATGCACCGGCCTGGACTTCGACCTCCTTCATCATCGCTTCAGCGAGGCCTTCAGAGACAAGACACCCCGGTGTCGCGCCGATCGGGAGGCAGCTTGCTCCGGTAATACTTGGCGAGATTGCCTTCGTTTCGACCGTACAGAGTCAGCAAACCAGACGGCGCACGATCAGACAACACAACACACTCCTGACAATGAAGAAAGACTCGTATGGAATGAAACATCATACCTCAGTGTTGACGGCGCTCGGGCTGTCTCTATTGAGCTTACTGATCAAGAGTTGAAGTATTGCGAAGCATCAAATCGAACCATGGCTATATCGCATGTTTGGAGCCATGGTCAGGGCGGCCGTCCAGACGTCGGCATCCACAGATGTCTTCATGATCGATACGTGAGGCTAGCCAAATCTCTCGGATGCGACAGCTACTGGATCGATTCGGCGTGCATGTGAGTAATCCGAGGAAGTTTGGTATTTCGCGTCTTTCCTTGTTTCTTGTCTCGGTCTGGAAATTTTGCAGCCCTGTTGGTTGTCGTGGCTGATGCGCGTGTTCCAGTCCTTCTGATGATGAGCTGAGGCGAGAAGCCATTCGCTACATCAATGATGTCTTCTACAAAAGCAAGTGCGTCTTGGTTTGCGACAAGGATGTTATGGATCTTGACGCAAGTGACCTGACGACAGCACGCCAAGAAAGCCTCGTAGCAGCTGTCCTGTTCTGTGACTGGAACATTAGGGCGTGGACTATGCTCGAAGCTCTGAAGGGTCGTGGTCATATCAGTATTCTGTGCAAGGATAATCGCATCATCGAATTTGGAGATGTCCTGAGGCACGTGTGCGATTACGGCCGGATCGATCTCGCAGTATTCTCTCTCCTGCTCCCGCACACTATTCCGTGGCGGAAGGAAGGCATGCAGAAGCTCAAGTCAGATGTCTTTGCCAATGACATACACCTGGAGATTGTGGGTTCCTGGCTGAGTCACAGGCCTGCGAGTCGCAAGTATGATGACGTTGTCATCTGGAGTTTGTGTTTGGGCCAGCAAAGCCAGAGAGCGAGGCACCCGGATCAATTGTGGGAGAAGCAAAGCCAAATCCGTACGGGTTTCCTGATGTCCAGCGCCCCAAGACTGTCGACACCCGGCAGGAGCTGGGCTCCCAGCACAACGTTCGCTTTTTCCGACGACGTGAATGAGAATGTCAAGGGCGTCCACCGTCCCTTTGACAGCAGTTTCACAGCCATCGCCACAGTTGAACCGGAGGGGATTTGGGCCAGGTGGTGGGTGCACGAAATCGAACAAGGCCGTCTATCCAAGCTGCTGGGTTACTACAAAGACAGCGTCGCGACAGAAGGAGAGCGTAGAACGAGGCGAGAACTGGGTCATGTCCGCAAGGTGCTCAATCTTCACGGCCGTTACCTTGCCCTATTGAGGCCGATGTACCTCAGCGTTGGCACTCGTTTTGACGGTGTCCAACAAACACAGAGCTACGCGAAGTCAGGCGTTTTGCTAGCTGTGTGTGAGTCTGAAAAGAAGGAGGAGAAGGCAGAGCCAGGCAACTATCGGTTGAGAAACACGCCGTCGTGGAAGTGGATCTGGCGAGGTGTCTATGAGTGGCCATCTGATGTTGACCTACCAGAGTTCACTTTGCACCATGGGCTGTGGATTGCCTAAATGTCGGTTGCTATTTATGAGGCCACGTCTTGACTTAACAGAACTTTCAATTAACATACTACATGTTCGCGATATCCAGTAACCCGAATTCTTGTCCAAGTCTAGTAATCATTCCGATAGAGAGAATGGGGACGTCAGAAAGGCAATGCATGAAAGAGGTCATTGGTCAGCACGATATCTTTGGCGGAATATGCCCCTGTTCACATTCAAAATTCGTCGATAGCGGATAATGGGAACTGAGCCTCGCTTCCAGGGCGTGGGCGTATCTACGAAGACAAGTAACCAAGAGATTTCGACGTCTAGCTGGGGGTTCAAGGTAAACGATATGAATATACAAGAGCTGCGCATAGCCCTCCTACCTGTGGAGGGGACGATTACAGACTAATTCCTGTGACATATCTAGCAACCGACTGCGAAAAGTGCCTGCGGAAGACCTCTTCACTCTGCCCTCCCCGTCACCAAAGCCAAGCGCCACTTAGTAGGTCTCCCGAGTACCTGCAGATAGACACTATCGCATAAGGTACCTAATGATGACTTATCCCATTCTCCAATAGGATACCCTGTCATTTCACGAACATATGAATTCAGGCTCAGGGTGTCTCTCCGCTCAAGTGACAACTCCCGACGCCAGTCAGCTTATCGATGTGTGAATCATCTCCAGGGCTTGGTCCTGGACTTCTGAAACTTCTGTCTTGAATCGCGTGAGTTTTGGGCAGCAGTATTCCATCGCAATCGATCGGAATTATCAGAAGTAAGAAGGCAGCAAGGAAGTAGAAGGTATGCTCATTGCCACGAGTCTACTTGCATGCTCGACCGTAGCCTGCGTGCGACAGGCACGGCCAACTACCTATGAGAAAGGAGGCTATCGGCGGCAGGATCGTTTCGGAATAGATCGATTAAGAGAAGCAGGGTCAATCACATTGTATGCTGTGAGTTTGGGAGTAGGGAAAGAGGAACGAAGGTTCTATTTAGAATGACTCCGGGTCAAACATTGTTATCATTGTCATTACTACTTTCTTCAAGGTAGCTGTGCATGTATCTGGTGAACTTGCCCAGTCAATGTCCAAAGGAAGCAGGTAGTCCGTTGTAATTGTTTCCATATATGTCAACCTCGTCAAAACGCAATGCCCTCTAATTGCGTGCCCACAAGATTAGGGGGAAGGATCGTTCTGGGTAGAATGTTGGTCACACTTCAAAACCAACTCCAACAATCATGACTTCTTCTCCCATTCAAAACTCCTCCTCCAGTTCATTGTCTTATTCTGCTTTTGTTTTCTTGTCATTTTCGAGCTCGATCTCGACTTTGCTGGCTGCAAGGCTCTTCGAGCAGGGAAGCGTGGTTCTGTTAGGCATTGCCACCTCAACCGACCTATCATGGCAAAACGTTGGACGCTGCCCACGGTTTGTTAGTGTGGTCACGGAGTCTTTCAACACCGTCTTCCTCGGACAATACTCCATATATCCTCATTGCACTCGGTTTTCTTTGTTCTTCAGTATCATAACTCGGTGTCGCTGCTGGAAACCCTTCTCGCTTGAGAGGTTGACAGCGGTCGGTCGCCTCAGACCTCCAGGGGCAGTTGGTCTCTGTGTTCAGTCTCATCATTGGCAACAATCAATGATCCCTGCAAGGTGGGTGGTCCCCTCATGGGGAAACCGACAGTATGAGCGGGTTTGGAGCCCTGTGATGAGCAAATGATCCCTTCCAATAGGAATGAGACCACCCACATGTGTCAGCTAGCTTCGGCTGACCCCCCAAACATGGTGTTCTTTTCTAGGAACAACGACAACCTCAGTCCACGCGCGTGGCGGGTAAACTCGCCAATGAAGGTGAGTTTTCTTCCACTGCGTTGAAGTTGGTCATCACTGGTTGACGCTGTCCTATCAGGTGTCTCGATCGCTTCTCCTATCCTCTCCGTCGTCGAAAACGCACTGGCATCAACATGACTTCGTCTCTGCCACAGCCAGAGAACAAAATTTCAAAGAGTAATAAACTCTCGGAGCGGCATCCAAAACCATTATTCCGCAACGCGGCATCAGACATGCGAAAGGTGACTCACCCTGACTGGACTAATCTGGGAGTTGGTTGACAAGTATTGACTGCTCGTTGATCAAGGAAAAAAGAAGATCCCAGATAGGGTGATGCGATGCATATCCGGGTAGACGAGGGCCGTCATGTTGTTCAGTGCGTAAGCCAGGCAAATTTGGTTCTGGTCGGGGAGTAGCAACGGAAAAAGAAGAAAGAGGCAGAAAAGGAATACTGAGGGCTGAAAAGCATAGATTTATAGAGATGAATCTTGAAAAGCCTCGACAACAAACTTTTCTCACACAAATCATCAGGGTGTTAATGGAAGAACTCAGTTCAACGTCCAGAGAATGGCAAGAGCGGCAAGAGCGGTGGGCATGTGGGGCATGACCAGATCATCACTGGATTTGACCTTGAGCCGTAGTTCGGTGCAATCTGCTTCAAAATACCCCTACGTGAACAGAGGTGATGCATCTCCAGTGATTGCACGCCCCCAAAATGCCATCATTCAAGACCATCGAGTGCCTTAGACATTGTGTAGAAAGGGTGACTCCATGCCCCATGCACCAGACTTCTCTTTTTTCACGGCACTAAGAGGCAGGTTGATCATGGTGCGATGGCACCTGATTCCGACGGTTGACGCTGCTATGGTCAAGACAGTCGGGTGAGCTCAGGCTTTGCTATGTCTATACTCTTGGCCTTTCTAGGGATAGCTTCAGGTCGATTTAGCGGTATGAAACCTCAACGATCAGGGAATGACCAGTCCCATATCCACGATTGATCCATCTCTTGGAGCGGACCAACTCCCCACCCGGCTTGTGGCGGTAGCCAGGATCCTGACGTGTCAAATAGCTCACGTTGCGGATCATTTTGAGTTGAGTCGTCTCCTGTTCCAGTCATGTCATCGATCCAATCTATCTGCCGATTTGTATCACCCGTTCTAGACTGCGTGTTGGTGAGCCCTGAGGCATGGCCATGCATTTCTGCGAGGTCAATGCGGGCGCCATCACCACCGGAGACAGGCTCCTGGGGTTCTGTCGACGAGGTTTCTCGGTCTCGGCCGACAGCTTCTGGATAATATTCTGGGGGCTCCCCAAATGCACCCGGCTTATTATGTGTCTCGCTGAAGTCGAGTCCAGCTGGATCGTCAATCAGAGCTTTCGTCTCCTCGGTGGCAATGACATGCATCAAGTCCGTGAGAACCATTGTCATTTGACTCCATACGTGCGATCTGAGACTGGTGCTCTTCGGAATCTGTATGATCCTCGCTATGCCGCGCTTACTCTCCTGGCCTCGAGCAGACAAGGGGCTCAAGAGGGCGAGCAGACCAAGCATGACGCCCGCGGAAAAGGCGTGCACCCCGACATGAATGGCAGGGAAGCCGAACTGGAAGAGACGTAGAAGATCCGGACGCTTGGCCACTTCTGATGTCCTCGTTGCGGATGTCCAACACTGCTGCTGAGCAATGTTGATGAACGCGCTTGGCACATTGGCAAAGGTAGCTTGCGTTGCCAGCGCAGGTGAGTTTGCTCGCGTAGAAACGCGCGACCTTGGTATGCCGCCGATCGATATCAAGGGACGGAACAGGAGGATATGTACGTTGTCGTAGGACACTTGGAGGGTAAGAGCCTGTATGGCGAAAATCCTTTTCAAAGCGGCGTCCTCGCCGTCCTCAATGGTATTCGGAGGGTGTGACTCTGCTCTTAGCTCGGGGGGGATAGACCTTTCCCAGGCTAACAACCTCTGGTGGAGTTTCGATATCGACTGACAAAGCTCTTCGGATCCATTGTGCTGGGTAAAGTAGATTTGGTGCATGATGGAGTTTGCAATTTTGTACATCTTAGCCTTGAACCTGTTATAGGAGCCGACTGTTACGGGTCTGGACTGCCCGTCCTCATATATCTCGGTTGACCCAAACTTCGGGCACTGCTCGAAACTATCTTCAACGTCAAGTGGTTGCTGAACGTGGCAATCGGTCTCGACGAGCATCGGAGGTGTGCCCCACGACATTGAGATGAATCTGCAGCCGCATATTAGACGCGGGTGTTAGATACGCGCATGTTGACTCACCCTGCTCCAATGAATACAGTCCACCAGACGTAGCGTCGCGTCTGTCTCTCGACGGTGTCGATATCGCCCCAGCTTTCTTCCTGGTTGAGGCCGATGAACTGAGCCGCGCGGACTGTTGTTCCCATGGTGATGAATGCGGCTCTTGACTGGCGGTTCCACATATAATAAGCGCTCAGCAGAAATGAGTAGGAGACTGTATCGACAGTGATGAGGTCCATGGATGGGAGGTACCATCTTTCGGCTGTCAATATCATGCCCGAAACAATCTCAGCTGAAGGAGCTTCCTCGCGACTCCCTGCTCGAGCGCCATCAGGTTTAAACTTGGCACCAATCACGAGCACGACAAGCGCTAGGAGAAGCAGAGGTCGCTGTTTCCTCAACGCAAGCCCGGACTCTGCTATGGGCAGAAGTCGTGCCCGGAGAAAGGGTTCGTGAATTATGCGGATATACCAATGTACCGAGTCATTGTACGAGTCCAATAAAGAGTTGACTACCTCTGTTGGAGGCAGATCAATACCCAAAATGTCAATGACGGGGACCAGCTCAGATTCTGCCTGGGTCTGTCCATGACTGGGAGAGTCTGTCGAGGGCAAGGCATCAACCTCGCGCGTTCGACTCGACGCTGCGATTTGGTACTTCTGAAAGATCTGAGAGGAATGTTAAAACAAAGAACTCGGCTTGTCGTTCCGCCACTGTTGAGCTTGACTACAGCACGAACCTTTCCCACAAGATGTAATGCGGACGCGCGCTGGTCAGGTCGGACGACATCATTTGGCTGTGCATGGGCCGGTGTAGAAACCCTCGGCCTGCCCAACTCCACTGCATCTGCAGCACGGGGCTGCGCAGAAGAACACGGCTCGTCAGTTACTCTCGGCCGAGCATGTCTGGCTTGGTACGCTGCACTTTTGGGCCGGTTGGATCGCCTGACTCCATGTCATCAGTCAATCGGTTGCCAGTAATGTATCTCTCTGCCATTATACTGACCAGGTCCGTTCAGTTGCCTCCGTACATTCTGCACCAGCCCGTATGCACAGTGGACACGGGCGCTGGTAGTCGCACTTGGTGCTCACAGGTCAGCCACGACCAAGCCCAAATTCCAGCAGCGCAGTATTAGATGACGAACTCTCAATTTTTGTCGGCGACAACGACTGCATGCGTGCCGGATCCTCTTCGGCTCCATCAACTGAGATGTTTACCGATCGGCTCGAGTAGTTGTGGCTATATGTGAGGGCGAAGAGGAGAGCCGTTCGGGTCAAAGCTGAGGGGATGCCGACGGCTCAAGTATTACTTAGCTACCTGCTTCAAGCAGGTGCCTTATTAGGGGGTAACGACAGCCGAGAGCCGCCGGCTCTCCTGCCCCACCTTCCTAAGTAAGTGGTTGGCGGGGAAAGGGTCGGTCACCAGTCTCGTCTGACCTGGACGGCTCCTCTTCCCCAGATTCCACTAGCATTCCTGCATAGGATACAGGATGGTGTCTGTTATTTCGGACGCTGTAATGAGTCTGTTGCTTTTCCGAGCCGCTTGGCTGGAGCTTGGCGGGAGCTGTCCCATGATTACGGGACAGGGCAAGCTCGTCATAAATGCACGGTATCTGAGCTGAGCTCCTGGCAGGACTCCCGCATCCAACCAAACGTAGCTCCGGTTTACGACTGAATACCCGAGATAAAACGATTTGAACAGAGAGCTGAGGGAACTGTTTTCCAGGATGACGGGGAAGACTGTTTACAACGCAACGGTCGACTATGAACTTACAAATGTCGATTTGTTGACACTGCTGTTCGGTAGGTTATCCCCACCACAGAAAACATTGAGGCAACAGTCTCATGCTATGTCCTGACACAGATTCTGCCGAGATTCCGTCCAAGGATGATACTATTCTTCACGTTGAAGCGAGTAATCCCAGCAACCGTCTGAGCAAGGCGCAAACCGCCACCCTCACGAGACGTATCGCGTACATCCTCAGACACAACTTCGGCGTTGGTGCCTCAATCAGCGGTCAAGATGTGGTAGTCTGCATCTCTTCCGGAGAGGTCCTCCTTCCGGCTGTATTCTACGGTACTATAGCGGCCGGTGGAGTGTATAGCGCTGCGAGCAGCAGCTCGACCAGTGCGGAGCTACAACGGCAGATCGAGAACGGCGGTGCTCGCCTGCTCGTCGCATCTGCCGATTGTCGTGCAGTGGCTGAGCGAGCAGCTCGACAGGCTGGCTTGCCATCCGACCGGATCCTCATACTCGAAAGCACCGATGGGAAGAGAAGTCTTCTCTCCAAGTCTGGAAAGGATATGTTGTCTGTCTCGTCCTCGGAGCTGCCTTGGGAAAAGATCACGGATCCTGAAATCCTCAAAGGACGTATTATTTGCCTTGTTTACAGCAGTGGAACTACCGGCAAGCCAAAGGGTATGTGGAATCAACGATTTGTAATGCAATCGAAAGGGCATTGACCTTTCTTTAGGCGTCACCATCACTCATGCCAATATGGTGGCACATGCTCTGATCACCCGCTACAGTTATCGAGATTTCCTCAACCGCCAACAGACTAAGGATCCGACATTTTCCTTCGAATACCGAACTATCGCGCACGTTCCAGCTGCGCACATCGCGGGAATTCAGGGCTACTTTGTTCAACCTGCCGTGCACGGAGGTACCGTGTACTGGATGCCCAAATTCGACTTTGTCAAGTTCATCGAGTATAATCGTAGCCTTCGGATCACCATTTTCTTCAGCGTTCCGCCCATTTTCCTATTGATCTCTCAGAGTTCTCTGGTCGGGGATCATTTTCGATCACTTTACCATGCGATCTCCGGCGCTGCTCCAATGAGCCCCCAGCTCTCGCGAGCTGTGGAGAAGAAACTGGGATGCAATATCTCCCAGGTTTGGGGGATGAGCGAGACAGCCGGCAGCGTCACGGTGCAGCCTTGGGACGAGAAGGACGAGACGGGCTGCATTTCGGCAGTCCAACCGAACACAAAACTGCGTATCGTTGACGAGGACGAACAAGATGTTCAAGACGGGATGCCTGGAGAATTCGTGGTACAGTCACAGATAGTGACCCCTGGATACTGGCGGAACCCCACGGCGACAGTCGAATCTTTTACCAAATGTGGCGGCTGGTTCAAAACGGGCGATATCGGCATCCGGAAAACCGGCAAATTCTACATTGTCGACCGCAAGAAGGTATGTAATTGATTACTGTCACTCTTGCAAATGGCTGATAACCTTGAATTTTAGGAGCTCATCAAATATAAGGGTCTCCAGGTTGCCCCAGCCGAGCTTGAAGCGCTTCTCCTGTCCCATCCCTTGATCCTAGATGTTGCAGTCATAGGTGTCGCCGTGCCGACAGAAGAAGGAAGCGAAGTCCCCAGGGCCTACATAGTGGCGGATGTCAACAAGATTTCCGAGGACGAGGTGAAGGCATTTGTCAAGCGCGAGCTGGCTTCGTACAAGCAGCTTCGGGGTGGCGTGAGCTACGTCAAAGCTATCCCCAAAAGCCCCACGGGAAAGATACTGAGGAGGGAGCTACGTGAACTGTTCATGAGGGAGAGCTCCCTTCCAGCTAAGCTGTAAATTTACACGGTTACATCTGCGTACGGCTTTAAGGCTAAGTTCATGAAATATATTGGTAGACGGCAAGTTCGCAATTACGCAACGACACATCGCATATTTTGTTTCGCTCAAAACCAGACTCGAAAACGCGCATGAAGTTTTTGCATTGCGTTATTGCTGTGTTACCAGATCAGCCTCGACATACTGTCCAGCGGGTAACAACAAAACACACAAAGTACAAGAATTATGCCAAGGCGCCAACTATCATAAAGACAACATGCGTTGTTCAAAGCCTTCAGCACCTCATAGCTTTCCAGCTAATGGTTTTTGTGAGATGCCCGCACCCATGAAGATCCTTGCGTCAATGGCGGCTTCGGCCGCGCAGTCAAATGCGCTAAGCTTAGTGTAGCTGACCGCGCTGACATGAGACCGGACGTATCTGATTGCAACGTGAGATGCAATCTCATCATCGTCCGTGCTAGCGTCATACAAAAGGAGTGTTGCCGTCGTAACGACGTCGAGGTGGTCCAAGAGCCACCGGCCACTATATTCCAGCAGTGCCCCATCCGCTTTGGTGCGTGAAATCAAGGCAAGGAGACTCTCGAGTCTTTCGGTAACAGCGGTACACTCATTGGCGAACCTCTTGCTGCAGAGCTTGAGGGTCCTCAAGGTCCAGGGAGCAAAAACATCCTCAATAATCCGGCCTCCTTGAATGCGTTTGTCTTTGAGGACCCGGCCAACGTCATCTGCCATGACGCTCACGGTTCCCTCCCAGATTGTTTGCACGACGGAGTCGCGAAATATCTTGGCCAGGTTCAATATGCCTCCATCTTCATGGTTTTCGCAATAGCCCACACCGCCGAGACACTCCATGTTCGCGCGAAGCCCAGCTACAGCTGCCACGCTTGTCTGCGCCTTGATCACTGGCGTCAGAAGCCGAAGGAGAAGCTTTGCTGTTTCGTCGTTCGGGATGAGTGCAGCGGCTGGGGTGTTTCTCATGACGCTACTACCCTGTTCATTGCAGCCCAAAAGGGCCACACCGAAGAATGTAAGAGCCGTGGCCGCTTGGTATTTGACAGTCTCTCCAGCCATCCAGTGGTTGTGCTGCAGGTTTTCGTACAAATAGGCACCCCGAACCTTCCGAACCTTGGTGTACGCACGGCAGACCGCGAGGCCACGTGCCCAGTACGAGACACTGCCAGCGCCGGTGTAGAGGCGCGTGATGTTGAGGACAGTTGAGATTGCCTTGACGCCCTTCCCTTCCTCTCCGACGAGCCAGCCACGTGCACCCTTCAGCTCGAGCTCAGCGGTCGGCAAACCCTTTGTGCCCATCTTATTCTTAAGCCTCTGGATGCGGATTCCGTTGAGCTCAGAGCCTTTTCCCGCCTTGCGGCGCATGGGAACACAGAACGCACTCAAACCTTTCGGGGTCTGCGCCAGAAGCATGGTCATGTCTGAATCGGTTGCGCTGCTGAACCACTTGAAGCCGTCAATGGACCAGGGTCCTAAAGGCTGTCCGAGAACGTCTTGGCCGCGGCCGCCAGGGCCCTTGAGGTCGGTCGGGGTCAATCTCGTGGCTATAGTCTCGGTTCCTCTGACATCGCTTCCGCCTGATCTCTCGGTCATCCACTGGCCGCTAGTCCAAGCTTCAGATGGGTCAGACGAAACCAGGCGTCGGTAGTATTCACTGAGGACCGCGCGGCGTCCCTTTTCGTCGCCATCATCGTCCCCAATGTGATTCGAAATGAAACGGGCAGACCCATCTGTCATGCTCATCGGGCACATGGTCAGGGTTGATGTGTGGTGCCAGTTGTGATTTACGAGAAACTGATGCACGCGACGGTTGTGGGTGGACGTGGACTTGTCGTAGCCCAGCGAGACAACGCCTGCCTGGATTCCGATAGCTTTCAAAGCTTTCCAACCGTGACACAGGACAAGAGGGTCGTCTCGATTCAGCTCGCCAAATGTCGTGAGCGGCTGCAAAGTCGGCGGTACTGTCTCGGCCTCGACAGCATGCTTCAAAGTGGCGGGCTCCAGCACAGTCCGTGAGATTTCGTGCATGGCTTTGCCCACAACTTGCTGGCTACTGTCTGGCAAGTACAATTTCGCAAGCCGTATAAGGACAACATCGTCCGTGGCCTCATCGTGAGCATTGGCGAGCTGGGGGGACGTGTACTGAGGGAGAATGGTGGGCAATTGCTGAAAGAAGCCCGAGGTAGCCGACGACGCAATAGGGACGCTTGCCATGATTATGGTCGAAGATTCCGTGTTGGAAATGGAAGAGGATACAAGACCCAAGTATAGACAGGTTTCTGGGCGTTTCGAGGGTTGCTGTTGTTTTTGTTGTTGCGTTTGAACCCGAGATCAAGGGGTGGGTTATGTGTTTGACCTGATTGTCAATCTTGGGCCATGCGAAAGCGTCTTAAGAAACCGGAAACCGCGGTCTCTGATATTCGATGCTGTTTCCGAACCTTTCATTGAGATGGTCAGCTGGCATGTCTAATGATCGTGGTGATTAAAGCAGGGGTATGGCCAAGGCTTGAGCCGGTGGCTCACGGCTCACGGCTCACGGCTTCTGACAAACTTGCAGCTTCCCACCACAGCGAGCCGTTCTACTTTTCCATGTGACAGCGCTAGCTTACTATCACAGACTATTCTTGGAGCGATTGAATTGACGTCCGTTGAACGCTTTGGAAAGACTCCAAGGTTCATCGCCTGTTCTGCGCCATCGAGGAAATTGTGGCAGACCCACACCACTTTTGTTCACAACTTCGAGAGGAGTGCCATAAGCTTTTGCGACAGTCTATCGCTTGCTTTGACATTGACTGTAAAATAATTTTCGGCAACGACCTGACTAGGAACCTGGCGAATGTGTCAAGTCACACGATGGCGAGCTCGATGATGCATTGTGGCTTGCCAACGACAAAGCCAAGTTTCCTGTCTCGAAGTGGTTCATTGTATGTGCTCATGCGATGCAGGAGGTTGTGGTATGTTCATGTTAGTCTGCATCTGCAGTACATTGGATACTGGCGAGGGGTGGTGAAGCGCGGCGCAGGATCATGAACCGACATCGTTCGCACATTTGTCCGGGAGCAAACGTTTGGGAGCAAACGCCTACTCAGGTGCAAACTCGATCGGAATGCACATTTGGTCGTGTGGCCATATAGAATTTGGAGCAATATCCACAATATGACGTCCAGTGGTGGTAAACATATTGTGACAGTAGGCGTAGTGAGGAAACGCCGGGAGCCTTCTCGAGATTAAGGTAGGAAGTGGGGAGTTCAGTGGGGAAAGGCGTTGAGTGCTGTCTCGAGGTACGTTTGGGTGGTGCAAAGGTTGGCAGGTAGGTGCACTTCGCTTTTCAAGTCCTCGTCGCCCACATAAGAAGTGACCGATGTCATGGCCAAATCACAACATAAAACAGAAATAGGTAAGCGCTGAGTCTTCTCCTTCAGCTTCATGATGTCAAAATGTAAGGGACTGGTCAAGCATGGTTGGGCTGCACCAGTGGACGGGCTACTAACGGCGCCCGTCTCGGTCCGTTTGTTTATTCGAGGGTTCCGGCCACGCATGGCCCACACTCCCTCTTTCGTAAGCCAGCGCTTGCGTTCCCCCCCAAGGCCCCGGAGCCCTGGACCGCGCCCCCTGGCCACACCCCCGCACGCCCCTGCAAATTACCGATAACGATAGGGGGAAAGTGTTCGGTACGACGTTGGTAGCTGCACTCCCCCAACTCCGCAAATGATGCACAACACAATGGCACGGACGTAGTTGTGTATTTGGGGAAAGCCCGCGATCCGCCTTGTACATAACATAATCTCCCATATCCATGTGGCCAGAGGCTCCGTCGTTGTTGTTCGAGCCGGCAACTTGACACGACATCCTCTTCACACCACCAGACCCGACCACAGATTACAGACCACAGGCCTGACGAGCGACGCACCCGACGAGCAACACCATTCGACCACGTACACTACACCGCTTGGCTTGGAGTCGCAGATGGCTGAGGTGCATGTGACGGTCGACACGTTCCTTACCAGGTTGTTAGATGGAGTCCGTGGTGTTCGACCAGTCCCCTCTCGCCGACTATCTTCGAGGTGTGTTTTCTTTTCCTCCTGTGCCGCAACGCGCAACGCAACCGCCAGATCACTGACGCTTGATCCTCCGTCGCAGATGAAGGCGAAGATGGCCAGGCCGAGTGGGCGCAAGCCGAACCCGATCTCGACTCCTCACCACCCTCGAGCCCCGGCTTCGCACCGACAGGACTCCCCAAGGTCCGCTCACGATTCCGCAACAAGATACCCGAGCCTCTGAAAGTCGAGATTCCGAACCAGACGCCGGCATCACTCAACTACTTTCGACGAAGCTACTCTGTACGCCGTTGCTCTCCCCCTTGCCGCGCTGTGCCGGTGTGGCTTGACTGACACCCGTCTCCCTTTTTCCCCAGACCGCTGTAGCGAACAGGATAGACCGCGCCGACAACTCCAAGTTTATCGAGCAATTTCGCTATACGATTGTCGCATCCCAGCTCCTGAGCGGACACTCAATTACCGGCCATAATCATGCGAGCTCTCGGTACCTGCCGAACGCGGAACACGGACAGGGGAACGACAACGGCCTTCTAGACTCCACCGGGGCTCTCGGTGCAGTATTGGGAGCCCTGGCATTGGCGTTTGCCATCAGCTGGATTGTCGGAGGGGGGTCCCTGACGAAGAAACGTCTCGCCGTTCTGCTTGTCACTGCGGCGATCGCTGCAGGGGTTGCACAGGTGTTCATGCGCAGGCAGTGGTTGCGGTACCGTCGCCCCCAGGCGTTATCTGAAGTCACTGCGTT